AGAAAATGCTGAAAACCTGTTCAACAGAGTAAATAAACACAAGTCAGCTTTTTATGGACTCATTTTAACAAATTTTCATGAAACCTGCTACGAAAACCTTGACTTAGAATGAATGCTGTCAAATGATTAATCGCGATTAATCGCATCCAAAATAAACGTTTTTGTTTACATAATATATGTGTGTGTACTGTGTATATTTATTATGTATATATAAATGCAAACACATGCATGTAAAGTTTTAAGAAAAATATGTTATGGTTATATATTAAATATATTTATATATAAAATATAATAATTTAAATATATACATGTATATACTTGTAAATATTTTCAAAATATATACTGAATGTGTGTTTATTTATATATACATAATAAATAAACACAGTACACATACATACTGTATATTATGTAAACAAAAACTTGGATGTTTTGGATGCGATTAATCTCGATTAATCGTTTGACAGCAATACTAGAATATGACATTATTATAAAATGCTAAAATAAGACATAATCAAAACTTTCCTCACACTGCCACAGAAACAAGAGCAGGCATGCATTTCAAGCTAAGACGCTGCTTTGCTAATTTCCGGATAGGTTTTGGCTCTTTTGTGGAGAAGACGGTGATGCCGTATATCAGCACGACTCCAGCCAAGCTCCTGAACCCCTGCACAGGGGACCAAAACTGCACCAGCCCCTTCAGCTACAAGAACGTGCTGAAACTCACCAGCAACGGGGAGCAGTTCAACAGTCTGGTGGGAAAACAGCAGATATCTGGCAACCTGGACTCACCTGAGGGGGGGTTTGATGCCATCATGCAAGTGGCAGTCTGTGGAGTGAGTGGAAAACAACATCACTGAGGACGATTATTTACTATGCACTGAGAATATGAGTCATTATTTGGTTATTTTTTATTATTTGGTTATGCTACAGTAATATGTGACCCTGCAACACAAAAGCAGTCTTAAGTCGCTGGGGTATATTTGTAGCAATAGCCAAAAATACATTGTATGGGTCAAAATTATCGATATTTCTTTTATGCCAAAAATCATTAGGATATTAAGTAAAGATCATGTTCCATGAAGATATTTTGTAAATTTCCTACCGTAAATATATCAAAACTTAATTTTTGATTAGTAATATGCATTGCTAAGAACTTCATTTGGACAACTTTAAAGATGATTTTCTCAATATTTAGATTTTTTTTGCACCCTCAGATTCCAGATTTTCAAATAGTTGTATCCTATCCTAACAAACCATACATCAATGGAAAGATTATTTATTCAGTTTTCAGATGATGTATAAATCTCAATTAAAAAAAATAGACCCTTATGACTGGTTTTGTGCTCCAGGGTCACATATGATCATTTGTGTCCTCAATCTCTTTTTGTACTTGCACCTTCACTCTTTGTATCCATTGGCCTAATTTTTCTCCTCCTTCCTGTTTTTTTTTTTTTCATTTCTCTCTCAGGAGCACATCGGCTGGAGAAACGTCACTCGTTTGATGGTCTTCTCCACAGACGCAGGTTTCCATTTTGCCGGCGATGGCAAACTAGGTGGAATCGTGCTTCCCAATGATGGGAAATGCCACTTAGAAAACAACATGTACACCATGAGCCATTATTACGTACGTATAAGACATCTCCAGGTGATTTTCAGAGCAGACTATTGGATGTTTGACAGATTTAGCAGAGCTTTTCATTTCCTTTCCTGACTAGGATTACCCATCCATCGCCCACCTGGTTCAGAAACTGAGTGAAAACAACATCCAGACCATCTTTGCAGTTACAGAGGAGTTTCAGCCTGTTTACAAAGTAGGTCCGCAGATGATTACAATCGTAGTGGTGTGTATGGAACGGTGTGTGTCTGAGCAAAAACACTCGTATTGTTCTCTGTTTGGAGCCTGTACTTTCTTTCCCCGTGAGAATTTTTCTCTTCTTTGTATTTGGCCAGTTTGTAAAAGTTTCCACCTGGGCTTTAGTCTTTTTCCACACTAGTCTAAACGTAGGAAACTTTGTGGTTCTGTTTGGATACAAACCAATCCTTAATGCTCACAAATCATGAACGTATTAAATGTAAGCACATAACATGTTGTTGTTGTTGCATGATTGAGTACTCAAATCATCCCACACAGCAAAAAATAAAAAAAGAATGAAAGAAAATCAAATATATATATTTTTTAAATATGTCTCAAAATATACAAAACATGGACAAATAAGCAACATTTTCTATAATGTGTTTCAAAATATATTTACATAAATATATTCTGTGCTATTTTTGTGCATAATAATAATGTTTGTTTTGCTATGTTGCGTTAATAATAATAATTATTATTGGTGAGCTTCACTGTTTACAACATATATTTAGCATATATTTAAAATATATTTTACCCAGAATTGTTTTTTGTTTTTTTTGACTTTTTGAGGCAAGATATGCTATTACTTTTCTAAGTGATCAGTCTTATAATATTCACCTGCTGAGTGATAAAACAGGCAACAAAATCCCATAGACCTGCATTGAACGAGCCATAGCTGGAGACAAGACGAATTAATTGTAATATGAAATTCCATATCAAATATTTCACCACTGCGAGACTAAAACTCACAGGCATCTGCACAGTTTGAATCCAGCTTCTCTGTATTTGAAAAGCCACAAGCCCAAAATAGTTTCCCAGCTTGGAATGATCTGAACGCCAAGGTCATAATTTCAAGTTCCTGTCTGCCGTTTAACAGGACTGTTGTAAAACAAACACCCCGAGTCCCTGTGCTGAAGATCCATGGATGTTTTTTTCTCTTTCCACAGGAACTTAAAAACCTGATCCCAAAGTCTGCAGTGGGGACGCTCTCTGCAAACTCCAGCAATGTTATCAATCTCATTGTTGATGCCTACAATGTGAGCCGATGAAGCTTCTTTAGAAATATCTGCCGTCTTTAAAGAAACTGGGCTGATTGCTGTTTTCTCTCAGTCTCTTTCCTCAGAGGTGATCCTTGAGAACAGTAAGCTTCCTGAAGGAGTGACCATCACCTATCAGTCGCGCTGTAAGAACGGAGTGGTGAATGAGGGAGAGAACGGAAGAAAGTGCTCTAACATTTCCATCGGAGACGAGGTGAAGCCACATCGACACAAATGCATCCTCCGTCATCCACAGCAGAAACCGCCAGCCTGTAGTTTCTGAGTCGTTTTCTGTTTCCACTGCATTCCCAGGTATCGTTCAACATTAATATCACGGCTCAAGGCTGCCCCAAACAAGTCAAACCTGAAAGCATTAAGATCAAGCCCCTGGGCTTCACTGAGGAGGTGGAGATCTTGCTCAACTTCATCTGCGAGTGTGAATGTCACAAACACGGCATCAAGAACAGTGACATGTGTCATAACGGCAACGGCACGTTTGAGTGTGGAGCCTGCAGGTGAGACTCTCCTCACATAACAGTCCTGCGTTTGCTCAGAAAAACAAATGACTGTGTTTCATTGCTAAATTACATTTTATGAGTTTTCCTGGAAGGTGAAGCAAGTTGCAAATACTCAGCTTAAAGGGATAGTTCACCCAAAAATTAAAATTCTGTCAATAATTATTCACCCTCATGTCGTTCCAAACCTGTAAGGCCTTCGTTCATCTTCGGAACACAAATTAAGATATTTTTGATGAACTCCGAGAGCTCTCTGACCCTCCAATAGACAGCAATGTAATTAACATGATCAAGAAATGTAACAAAGAGATTGTTAAAATAATCCATGTGACATCAGGGGTTCAACTGTAATTTTACGAAGATACGAGAATACTTGTTGAATAAAGTCTTTGTTTTTTTTTTGTGCACAAAAAATATTCTCGCAGCAAAATTACGGTTGAACAACAATCCTATATTAAATGTTTTGTTTACTTTTGTCATTTTTATGAGTCTTTTTAGTTCTATTTCTAATTAGCTTTAATTTATTTTTAGTCAAATTTGAGCACTTCAATTTAAACAAACCTCTGCAACATTTCTAAGTTTCATCCGTGTTTTTCATCCAAGATTACATTAGGTATTTGTCAGCTTTTTCAATTAATGAAAATTATTTGAATAGTTTTAGTGAACAATAAGAACAATTAACAATATATTTTGCATAAAATTAAGACCATTTTTAAATCCTTTTATTCATTGAATATCAAAATATTTTCCCACAAAATTCCCATTTACAAGAAACAATGGAAATATAAAAAAGTCTTATTGTAATTGTTAATTGAATTGTAATTACTGTAATTGCTTGGACTTTTTCTCTGTAATTCTCATTATCATAATACATTCATTTACTGTACAGTAAAAACAAATCTAGAATGCAATGATTTGTCTAAATACATACATTAAAGATGCAATGTCAATGAAAATAATATCACAATGCAAAACAAAAATTACTCTTCTGATGAAGATTTACTTTTCAAAATACAGTTTTTGTTGATTTAGGGTTAAATGTAACACTGAATCTTTGATGTAAATAATCTTAGTAAAAAATGATGCCAAAATATGTGAACTGTTATTACATTTATATGAACTATTGTTACACTGACTGACATTTTTTGTGGGTGTCTTCTGCAAATCATGGTAAAAACAAATGATAAGCATGTTGCTCAGAAAAAAAAATAATAATAAATTTAAACAGGACATTCTAATGCACGGAAAAAAATAAAGCTGTATTAAACTCATCATTGTTTTGATGCTTGAAAACCCCATAAACCTGTAAGCGAGAGACTTTACGTGAGTAAATGTGAGCTACTCTGCGTCCTCTCAGGTGCAATAAGGGACGTGTGGGCAGGCAGTGTGAATGTCGAAAAGACGAGGTGTCCACCGAAGACCTGGACAAGAACTGCCGCAAGGACAACGGCACGGACATCTGCAGCAATAACGGCGAGTGCGTGTGTGGCACCTGCGAGTGCAAGAAGAGGGACAATCCTGAAGAGCGCTACAGCGGCAAATTCTGCGAGTGCGACAACTTCAACTGCGACCGCTCCAATAATAAACTCTGCGGAGGCAAGCTGTTTTCTTTTTAGACCATGCATGTCACCAATACATCACTCGACAGATCCGACAGATCATTAATAGAAGAAAAGCAGCTTGGGTAGCAGAGGAAGACTGTTTGAAATGAGCAGATGAAGGTGGTTAACCCATTTGTGACCCTGGAGCACAAAACCAGTCATTAGGGTCAATTTTCTGAAATTGAGATTTATACATCATCTGAAAGCTGAATAAATAAGCTTCCATTGATGTATGGTTTGTTAGGATAGGACAATATTTGGACAACTATTTGAAAATCATCTTTAAAGTTGTTCAAATTAAGTTCTTAGCAATGCATATTACTAATAAAAAATTAAGTTTTGATATATTTACAGTAGGAAATTTACAAAATATCTTCATGGAACATGATCTTTACTTAATATACTAATGATTTTTGGCATAAAAGAAAAATCTATAATTTTGACCCACACAATGTATTGTTAGCTATTGCTACAAATAACCCCCAGCGACTTAAGACTGCTTTTGTGCTCCAGGGACACATTTTATCCCACTGGTCACAATAGCGACCGTAAATGTAACCGGTGTTTTCTTATGCAGTAATCAGATGGACATCAGATGACGGCTCGACTCTTCTTTAATCTGATAAGACATAAACAGTATTTATAGACGGGTGTCAATTTAGTTTCTGCAAGGTGAATGTAGAGTGCAATGCAATTAGCACGTGCTTAGAGTTCACAAAAGGACAAAAAAAGTGACCAAACTTGATGAAAATACAAAAATAATCAAATATGCATGAAAAATAATGTCACATATGATTTAGATGACAGATTTAAGTAGAAAGGTAATTTAAAAGAAAAAGATGTAACTGGATTAATCAGAGCTCATTAGAAACCCACCTCTCCCATGCAGAGAAAGGGAAGAGGAGGTGCAAAGACAGGAAATTAGGATCAACACTGCAGTCAGAAATTTAAAGGGGAAGGTGCACACACACAGACAGGCATATCAGGTACACATTTGAACATTTTTTGTGTAATTCTATATATATATGAACATAATACTTTCTATGCCTGTTACATAAAGAAGGTTTTCATGTATAAAGCTCTAAAAATGTTACTAACTGGTGTTTTAGTGCATTTCCTGCAAATATGGAAAAAATAAAGGGTCTCAAATATGTGCAGCGTCACACGTTTAGTGCAAATTGTCACATGACCATAGCATATTACTTCCTGTTTGCACCATGAGATGATGATGGCTGCATCAAGGCTCCAAAACAAAAGGATAGTAAAGTATGTTAACATAAAGATATGACAAAGATTTTTGGTACACGTTATCTTTAAGGTGTCTAGTATTAATATATGAATTCACAATTATTCAGTTTTGTTGAGTGTGGACATAGAATGAGTGAACATGTTGATGGTCACAATAGTAACCGGTGGGATAATAACTATTTTTTTGTATTTTTTTATTTTAGTGTACCTATTCAGTGTTTTATAAGTGTTTTTTATCTGTATAATAGTAACCATAGAATGTGATGAAACCGTTTAAAATGGGTTAATAACTGGGCTGAGATGTATAAGAATTTTGATGACTGCAGAAATAATTTTATTTCGGTATACACATGATCCCACAACTGTGACCAACCATAAAACACACACATTTCCATAAAAATGTCAAAAAACAACTATTGATTATTTCAAGGGGTTACTATGACACATCATCTTGATATTTTCATGTCTGAGAAAAATGTGTGATTAAATGGGATAATGTGGTGGTTTTCCTGCAGGACACGGCCGCTGTGAGTGCAGGGTGTGTATCTGTGACGCTAACTACACGGGAAGCGCGTGCGACTGCTCTCTGGACGCCTCCACCTGCTTAGCCTCCAACAAGCAGATCTGTAACGGCCGGGGGATCTGTGAGTGCGGGACCTGCAGGTGCACCGACCCCAAGTTCCAGGGGCCCACCTGTGAGATCTGCCCCACCTGCCCCGGAGTCTGTACTGAGCACAAGTCAGTGGAAAACAAGCACACGTCTGTGTACACAATGTGTGACAGATTAAACTACATTCAGTGCATGCACAGCTTCAGTGATGAATTGTAACACAACATATGATATGCTGGTTACCACTTACACAGCAAAATATATGTTTTTTCTGTCCAAAATAGATATAATATATGTTAAATATATGATGTAAACAGCATGGCTTATGAAATATATTTTTTCAAATTTTAAATATTTTTGTTTAAATCTTCAAATGCCAAAAATATATTATAAAATGTACTGCAAGTGGTAAAAAAAAAGTACATTCCCAATCTTGAAATACATTTAGCAAAATATGTTTTTTTTTAATGTATAAACTAAACTCAGTTAATTCAAACAATTATTTATAGCATGCATTAAAGACAATAGAATGTCAATGTCAGAAAATTCAAAATAGTTTCATATTTCTTTTATTTTTAGGGTGAAAAATGACAAATATCCTTTGATGTAAACAGAAATATATCAGTTTGGATATTAGTTGGGTAAACATAGATATGTAAAAGTGTGACACCACTTGTTAAAAGTTTGAAATAAAGTTGAAATTAAGTTTGTAATGAAAAAATAAAATAAAAACCACAATATGGTGAAATATTATTACAATTTAAAATACCTTTTTTCAAAGTGAATAACTGTTAAACTGTAATGTATTTCTGTGATGCGCAGCTGTATTTTCAGCATCATTACTCCAGTCTTCAGTGTCACATGATCTTCAGAAATCATTCTAATATGCTGATTTACTGCTCAAGAAACATTTCTGATTATTATCAATATTGAAAACAGTTGTGCTGCAAAATATTTTTGTGATAAGATTAAATAAATAAATAAATAAATGCATGAAAGAAAGTGTGTGTGTGTGTGTGTGTTGCCAGTTTTTTTTATATTTTAAAATATATTTTCAGATTTGTATTCATTATTATTTTTTATTATTATTATTTGCTGTATGGGCAACTATTGTGGTATTAGTACAGTTAGTAGAGTTTTTGCTAACACTTTATTTTAAGGTGTCCTTGTTACACATGTTAAATGCACTTACTATTATAATAACAATACATTATGCATAATTACATGCAAGTAACCCTAATCCTAACCATATAGTAAGTACATGTAGTAAATTAATATTACTCAGTACTTAAATATGTATAATTATACTGTAAAAAGGACACCTTAAAAAAAGTGTAATATCAGCCCTGTTTCTTTGCAGAGTTTGTAACCAATGCAATATTACCATTTATATATATTTGCCTTTTGCTGTGTGGAAGAAAACCCACTATCCTAAGTAGGTTTCACAATCCACACTTGAACTCGCAGTGTTACCGGCTCTTTCCTGTTTCAGGGAGTGTGTGCAGTGCCGGGCGTTTGGCACAGGAGAGAAGAAAGACACTTGTGAGAGAGACTGTAGCTACTTCAACCTCATCAAGGTGAAGGACAGAGATAAACTCCCTCAGCCGGTGCAGGCCTTCCCCCTCATGCACTGCAAGGAGAGAGACGCCAACGACTGCTGGTTCTACTACACCTACGCCGTCAACAACACAGAGAAGGAGGTGCATGTGGTGGAGGCTTTAGGTGAGGCTTCGTATCAATACAAAGAAGAGCCATGGTTTAGATATCTGAGTTTGTGTCACTTGTATTGTTACTTTAGCTGCATGAGAGTTAGTTTGCTTTAAATGGGTCATATGATGCAATTTCAAGTTTTCCTTTGTCTTTGGAGTGTTACAAGCTGTTCGTGCATACAGTATATAAGATCTGTAAAGTTGCAAAGAATAAAGGTCTGGTCTGAAATTTTTGCACGTTAAAAAATAAATACGACCTCATGTTGTGTCAATCACGTGTACACACTGCCTCCGAAACGTTCGTTTGTCATAAAAAAAATTCGGATCAGGTTCGATTTTCTGCATTTTTGCATCCGTAGCAAGCATTTTGATAGGAAAGGATGTCGAACACGGAAAAAAAAAAAAAAACGAAAAACGCATACGAAAATTTTGGACTCAGTGTGCAAGGACCTTTACTCCCAGAACAGATTATTGGGGAGAGCTTTATGCGATATTCCAAAATGCGCATAAAAATAGGTAGATGGAAACATAGCTACTGTGTGGGAAGATTTGCATAACACCGCCCAAATGTTTAAGCAAAGAAAGAAGTCGTAAGTTTTATTCTTGCTGTAGTATTGTTGTCGTGGAGACGCTGTGTGTTTCCAAATATGGTATTATGGCGTAACATTTCCGTCACACGCTTGAGGTATTCAACCAATCACAACGCACTGGATAGCTGGCCAATCAGAGCACACCTCGCTTTTCAGACCGATGAGCTTTGTAAAAATCAACGAGTTTCAGAAAGGCGGGGCATAGAGGAGAAACAATAATGTACAGTATGTGGAAAATAATGTGTATTTTGAACCTTAAACCATGTAAACGCATTGCATTACACCAAATACACAAATTAATGTTCTTTTTAGCAGCATCATATGACCCCTTTAATGACGTGTGCTTGGTTTTTGGTCTAGCTCTGCTCCTGATCTGGAAGCTGCTCATGATCATTCACGACCGCCGCGAGTTCGCCAAGTTTGAGAAGGAGAAGATGAACGCCAAGTGGGACACGGTATGAAAAAAAAAATCTTTTAAACTGGACCAAGAACTCTTTTATTTGAGCTCGTGCTTTAAAACTTGAAGTTCCCAAAATTCCAAGATTGTTTCATCAGAAGTGTGGTTTTCCTCTTTACGAGTGCTCCGTCTGGATTGTAAGGCAGCTGTGGAAGTACGTAAAGCAAAGGCTTCTGGATTTTCAGGGCCTGGTTTTTCTGGGTGTGTCGCGGGCAGCTGCGGTCAGTCAGGATGATGCTCTGCTGCCCTCTGCTGGCTCACTTTCTGAGCAGATCTGTGTGCACATGTGAAAAAGAAGTGCACTTAATTCAGGGGTGCCCAAACTGGGTCCTGGAGGGCCGGTGTCCTGCAGAGTTTAGCTCCAACTTGCCTCAACACACC